TTCCTCTGATTCAGAATTACTAGAGTGGTGGAGAGGCACAGGGTGGTGGTTCACAGAGGCTTCCCGGATGGTGGCAGGGCCTCGGGACATGGCTTCTTCTCTGAGCCTGTGCAGGGCTCACTGGGTCTTTCTTGGCCACTGACGCATTGCCTTAGGGTGTGGCTTCTCCCTATCAAGTTCATTTGTTCACAGGTTTGGCTGACCTCTACTACTTCTTTGCTGATTTTCTGTCTAGTTGATCTGTATCTCTATGACATGGAATATTGAGGGCTCCCATTACTATTGTATTATTGCTTATTTGATTTTCCATGTCTACTACTAAATGGCTTAAATAGTTGGATGCACCTGTATTAGGTGCATATATATTTATGATTGTTATGACATTTGTGCTGTCTCCAGCTTTCTCATTGACCCCAATCAACTTTGTGTTCTTCTTTGCTTCATTTTGTAGTAGAGTGATTTCTCATAGTATCTTGCTATTTTTAAGATATCTTTCCTTTCATGATCACTAGCTGAAACTCTCTTTAAGATCTCATGTTCTGTCCTCTTGTTCATTCAGTAATTGTGTGTAATTTTAATAGAGGCTTTAATCTCCTGGGTCCCTGTTTCAATTTGTTTCATGGATTCCACTGTTCTCCTCTGTTGTACATTTTTTTGCTTCCATCTTTTACCTAAGCTTATCTATTCTTTTATTTGTGTCTTCTCTAATATCTTTGATTGAAGCATCATTTCTTTTTGTACCTGAGAGATCATTTTCCCTCTATAGCCTTTTTAATTTTTTTGTCAATTCTGTTGTTATCATTTCATAAAGTTTCAGGATTTGACTTCCAACTTCATCTGCCTCATTAAGTTCCAGGCCTGTCATGAGTAGCTTGCGAGTCTGGGGCTGCACACCACCTCTGTCGTGTCATTCTCTACCTACCGTTTTTTATTTTATTTTGTCTTCTTTTTTAATGCCCACCAACCTCCCATGATATACAGCTCTCTATCACTAGCATTAAGACTTCTTTCAAGGAGAAAGGAGATGTTCTTTCCTCAGAGGTATCCTCCAGATGTAGTTGGTTCTTTATAGCTATCTGGAGAATTTACCTTTTTCTGGTGTTTAAATTTCTGTGCTAATGTCCATGTTACATCCCAGAGATGTGCTGGGTATGGAGCCCATTTTTGCCTCTGGCTGTGGGGGCCTGTACTGGTCTGTTCATGGAGTTCTCCAGAGTGCAACTGCTATCTCCTTGCTGCTGCTTCGGATGCTACCACATTACTGGTCTTGCCCTCCAGAAGTGTGCGAGTGTCTGTGTGCTGGGCTGTTACCCAGGTTTTGGGGGATGGCCTGCTCTTTAGAATGCAATGTAGGAGTCCTGATTACAAAATCATTGTCTTCCAGCTGGCCCTGCCCTCTAGGATGTAATCAGACATCCAAAGACTTTGAATCATCCAGAATCCTGTTGGCTCAACAGGGTAGTTAGCGCATAATTAGACTGCTACTTAACTATTATTTGCTCCTTTCCAAAAATGCATTGCCTCTCAATCCTTGAACCTTGATCCTCAGCAGGTCATCTCCACTGCTTCTTACATCCCAGCAGCACACACTGTGCTGTACCTGTATCATACTGTGCACTGACTAAAGGCCAAGAACACTGTGCCTCATCGTCCTAGTCAGTCATTACAGTCCTAGCTTTGACCACCTGGTGCTTCTTGTCTGTGTATTATCCTGTCCTAGTACCCCTGAGCAGGACAGTGGTTACACTCGGCCAAGGCCTCCATAACCTGTGTGAGTCTGACAGTATGTGAGTTTGGAAAAACTGGTCAATTTTTTTTTCTAACTTGTCTTCTAATTTTTGAGCATGAAATTGTGGTTTTCCTCATTTTCTTTTCATTGTGTTCAGAGTCTATGTGACATTCCTCGATTTCCTTTCTAACTTTTATGATTTATGTTCTTTCTTTTTTATCTTTTTATTTATATAAATTCTTTATGTGTTAACTAAGATTTTTGAGAGTGTGCTTTTGGTTGTTTTTTCTCTTGTATTTCTGTATCATTTTATTTGGTCCTATTTTTTACGTATGTTGCAGCTTTCCTTATGCTTATTTGACTTTCATTTCACATTGGTGACTAATGGGAAAATTTTTTAAATGGGTCAAAATATAGAAGAAACAGAAATTTACAGGACATTTATTTCTTAAAAGTTGTCTGAGGTATAAAGCAGGCTTTTAAAAATTGTGTAGTTTTAGAAGGATAAAAGTTTTGGTTTCCATAGTAGAGTAGTATCCCATTGTTTATAAACACCATGTTTTCTTTGCCCCTTCATCCACTGGTGGGCATTTACACCATTTCCAAGCTTTAACTACTACACATTGTGCTGCTATAAACATGAGTGAGTATGCGCACATCTCTATAATCTGATGACTTTACCGCGTTTGGGAACGTAGCAGCGGCATAAGCGCCTGCCTTGCAAGCGCGCAGTCACGAGTTCAATCCCTGGTACCAATTAAAAAAAAAAAGAATATCTGGGTCAAATGTAGTTTGTATTTTGAGATTTTGAAGAACTGAAATAAAGCTGACATACACATTTAAATGTTGTACGTTTTCTCTCACATGACCAACCCAAAATATAAAGAACAAAATGAAATACAGATAATAAGAAAGAAAGATATTTTTCAAATGGTGAAGAGATAGAATTGGGGGAGCAGGGAGGCACGAAAGGGTTATGGGACAAAAAAATGAATTAAGACACATTATTTATAGGTACCAACTCCTCATGAAAAATGTAATCATTGTGTACTGCAAATACGAACCTATAAAAACTTCAGTTTAAAAAGGTAAGTAGGGATCCTGTTATGGTTTGTACGTTTATGTTCCCCAAAGCCTCACTACATCATAGATGGAACTTTTTGGAGCTGTGTGGATCTAGGATGGGCAGGAGATACTGGGATTAAGGGTGCATGGTACTGAATTAGTCCACTGATTTAAATTAGCATAGTTCTGGGCATGCATAATGCCAAGGCCCAGCCTAGGTGCGAATGGAACCAATCAAAAGGCTTGTAACCTGGAGAAGCATGCAGAGGGACACGGAAAAGGCAGGCTTGCTGCTGCCACTGCTGTGCTGTCTCCTGCCTGCTCTGCAGTATCCCTCTGCCTTGCTGCCCTGCCTGGGAGTAAGCTGGTAATGTACTGAAATTTTGCAAACTATCAGCCAAATTCGATCTTCCCTCATTTAACTTGTCAGTGTCAGGTATTTTGTCTCAGCAATAAGGAAAGTAAGACATCTCTAGATGACGGCACAGGATAAAGTTGAAGTGTGAGGGTCTCTCCAGTAATCTTTGTGTTTTACTTCATCTTAATTATATCAGACCTCAGAAGTCTAAGTGCAAACTCATTGTCTTCCTTCCTTTCTTCCTTACGTGCTTTCTCTGCCTTTCCTGATCTTTCCCGGAGAGATGAAAGTCTGCCAAAGGGCTGATCTCTGGGGAAGCAGTCCACATGCTCCTGGCAGACCTGAGAGTGGCTGTGAGTCCAGAAATCAGACAGGCAGCAAAACAGAGCAGCATGGTCAGGAAAGTAGTTCATGCAAGGCAGGTATTAAACCAGCAAATATCTTACAAACAATAAGAACCAAACATGCAAATTATAAAAATGAGAAGGCAAAATAAAACCATTGAAGTTTTGAATCGGAGTAGAATTATTATATGTACTGAAATATGCCTCTATTTTTAAAGTGTGTACAGAAAGAATCAGAAATTATATGTGTGTGCATAGAGACACACAGAGAGAAAAGAGTAGCTATGAGATCCAAAAGATGATCTACATGTAATGACAGCTTAGTAATGGATATGTACACACGTCTTGATCTTCTACTAAAAGGAGCTCTAATTCCCTAGAAAAACATCAAGTTCTACAACTAGGACATGAAAACACATGACAACTAGAAACTAAACTCCCAGTGCCAAGGGTTATATCACTTGCCTGTAACTCCAGTACTTGGGAGGCTGAGGCAGGAGGGTTACCACGCATTCGAGGTCAGCTTGGGCTACAGAGTGAGCTCATGGATACTGTGAACTGCATAGAAAGATCCTGTCTCAAACCACTCCCCGCCCCAAATATGACAAAGATGTCAAAAAGACACAACTAGTATAAAGGGATTCCCACTGGCTAGATCAAGAATAAAGTGAGTATAATAGTATTTTGTAGAGTACCTTTCTATTTTGTGTATGTGTGATCTTTTCCTCTTGGTTACACAATGGCTATGGGTTTAAAAAGGAGAAAACCACAGAGCACAGTGCCATTTTTATTATATATTAAGTATAACCTGTTATCTGTGCATCTCACTTCTCTTCAAGTCAAGCCGTCACCTGCCTGAGGGAGGAGTCTCCAGGCCATTGCACTCTGAGTCAGCCTTCCCTCTGTGGGCTATACAGCATAAACATACTCTTCACAAGGGAAGCAGGAGGTGAACCACACACCTAATGAATGGAATGTGGAACTACACATCCTTAGTTGGAAATCTGGACTGCATAATTATCAGTGTTCAGCGGGTCATTTACAACTTAGGTATTTTTATCAGTGTAAAATCATGTATATTTATTTTATGCTGTGGGTTATAATCCAGTATTTTATTCATTTATTACTCCACTTCACAAGTACAGTGATTTATTTGTACAAATGTAAGTTCAGGGGTCCTAGGGTTCAAAATCTTAATTTGTTCTGCGATGCTGGGGAAGATGGCCATGAGCCAGGTCGTGCAGGAAGATAGCCAAGTCATGCCGGTCACCTGATGTGGAGCTCACAAATAGAAGTAAACGTTTCTGAGTACTTCTTTTTGAAAGCTAAACTGTTCGCCAACAGAAGGGTTCATGAAATGAGATATTACAGTATATGCTAAATGTCATTCTAAATCAAAGAAAACACAAAATAGCTCGGAGTATTTTTCATCAAACTAACAAAATGAGCTGTATATTTCTGCATCATTCCCATGACTATTCTAAGCAGAATAAAGGAAAGAAATGCAAAGAATAACAATCTTTATTTCTTCTTTACACAAGGAGTTCCCTAAATGTGAGCCTGATTCTTCAGAAGACTTGTTCTTGTTCTCATCAATCTGAAATAAGAAACTAATGATGAGAAATGTTTAACCTCAGCTACAGTAAGAATGGGGACCAGGGTTAGATCTCCGTCCGCAGCTGCAGTGTGGAGCCCTTCATTTGCTGCTGGTAGTGCTTGTCAAAGCTTTCATTCAGGGCTACTGTAAAGTGATTCTTCCAGTCTCCTGAAATTCCTATAACGAAAGAGAAAAAATAGCATTACATTTCCTAGCCAAAACTGTGACATTTCCTAATGTTAATCACTTTCTTTAATGATTAGTCAAATTTTTCTTATAATCTTCTATTTTAGCAATAAAATGTATACCATAAATATTATATTACTTGAGTTTACAAGATGAATTTATGTTGATTGATTTTAAAATGGAGGTCAAATTTTATTCTTCTACTCTTCTTGTTTTAATTACCTTTATTGGTACTTTTAAAATATGCATAATGATCGCATTCAACACAGGGACTTTGTATCTGAACATGACTTGTTCATTCCCTTTTTTCTTTTTCCATTCTTTTATCCTTCCTTAATCCCTCTTCTCCTCCTTATTTACAAAAGCTTTGTTTTCTTTTCCTTCGTTTCTTATTTTAATTATTTTCCCTTCTTGTCTAATACACATGTAGACATTTTGAAAGAAAAGACAGCAAATTCAAGGAGTAGATGAAATATAATCTAAAAGTGACTGTTTTTGCTCAATAACACATTCATCATTACGGGGTTTTTTTAATTCATCTCACTGACAATTTCATTTCAGAAGCAAGACATTTTCTATTGGTTCCTCTCATATCTGTATGAAAATGTCTCGGTACTCTGTATATCTTACTTACCTTTGAACTTATAAACTATGTATGCATCACCGAACTGTGACTTCTTCTAAACAGAATTTTATCTCATTATAGGGCTATATTAAAATTCCTACTTTTCCCAAAAAGATGATGAAAAGGTTTATGATATTAGTTCTTGGTTATTTATTTATTTTTTGTCTTGGGTGGGAAACCACCTGGAAGACTCTCCTTGAGTAAAGAGCAATTATGTACAGTGTCAGTTAAGCTATTTCCTTTTCCCTTCAATTGGCTCTAAGCAATATAAGCAGGGCTGGCAGAGTGCTCATGCGTAATCTTTAAGCTGATGACAGTGACAGTTGCTGTTTCCATGCTCTGTGGCTCCCTAGACATGCTTGAGCCAGGAAGGATGCCGAGCCACCCACTGCTTCAGGGCTGTCAACTAGGTCTGAGCATTAGATAAGAGGCTGTAACTTCCCAGGGCAGAAAAAGTTTGCACGTCAGAGCTGTAACTTTACTACCTAAAAGTTAAATGCTATCTCAGTTGTGTTATGCGGTTTGGTCTTCCTGCATATTCTTCTCTCTGCAGATTGCAGAAGTGCTTTCAGGTCTTCTACCTAACCCAGCTCAGTGTACTCATGGATCACCCATCATTCTCACCATCACTCATCCTCAAGTCACACCCTTCTTTTGAATTAATAAAATCCGGGTTAGGCCTTGGGTCAAAGCCTTTGTTTGGATAAACCTTCATCTTGGCAGAATTTAGGACCCCTTGCCTGCCTGCCCCATAATTATAAATACTCTTTAGTGTCTTTATTCTTGCTGTGAGTTGCACTTGAAGTGGTAAATTGGGATTCACTCACTAGAATTCAAATAACTTTTCCTTGGGACTACAAATATTAACTTGAGAATGGGAAAGGGATCACTCTAGTCTTGAAATTTTCTGTCACTTGTTTATGAAAACTCTAACTGTTCTAAAATGATTTCTTCATCTCAGAATAAGAGGAATCAAACCATTTTTCTCAGAGTTTTCAGTTAGAGCACAAGTAGACAATGTACATAAAGTATGTGATGCAGTCTGGAAACACATAGGTCTGGTTAAAGATAGCTAGTACAGCATGGGATGATTCCTGGTGCTGAAGTTCAAGTGTCTTCCAGTTATTCTTAATATTACATGTTACAAAACTAAATAATTAGCCAGTAATTGCAGTTTCATAGTGTGCCTCTGCTGAACTAATAACTCAATAGAGTATTCAAAAATGAAAAAGTCCTAAAGAAAACGTTGTAGGTAGACAGGATGGATTAGATTCTCAGAAGGTTTTTTATGTTTTTTCCAACAGCTATGATGATTTATAATGTTTCTTATAGCAATAGAGGCTAATGGAATGATTCTTTTTTACCTTTTCTCATGAAGGGTGACACCTTCTGGTTCATTATTTCTTCTGGCAACATCGTGTAATTGGTAGATGGATTGTTCTTCATCTCCTGGAATGATGTGTGTTTTATAATCTTGTCCACAAGCTCTTCCGATGGTTTTCTTCCAAGGAAGTGTATCAGTTTCAACACCTCCTTTCTGATGTCCTGTAGAAAGAAAAAAAAAATGCTTTGAGTACTATATTGCTGAAATGAATAAATCCATCTCTGACTAAACTGACAGAAAGTTTCTCTTTTTCTGAAGTATATTGAAATTAAAATTCACATGAAAAAGCAATTCCTGGGAAATTGCTTTCTAAAAAACTACTCTCAAAATTATTCTCATGGATAAAACTGGCATAAAAGATATGACAAAATAGAAGAATTAAATAAGATGATGTTTGTGTAGTGTTTCTTTGTCTTTGATGTATACTTATGCTTATCAAAGAATGTGAATACATATATTCTCAATGATTACAATGCTCTGTGGAAACTTAAGGTTGGCAGGTGAGAACTTGCTGAAACCTTTCATTTTTCTGATTCATTGGGATAATTTGTGAGAAAAAATCAACCAGAAATCTTCAGATGAATCAGATGCCCAGGCCCCAGACATGGGCCCTCATGTATCCAGGCCACGCCTGCAATCTGCTCTGTTCCTCCCCCACTTAGTCATGCGATGCCACTGTTTACCTTGGCGGCTGCCTCTTTTCTTTTAATGTACAATTCTCCCTGTGAGGACTGCTGCCTCCAAATTTGGTGCCTGGTTACATCGAATGTTACCTTTCAAATGTGAACATTTCTGACACTTTCTTAAAATGATATACTCAACATCTGAGTGTTAGTTACATGACCCAATTTTTGTTCCTATAAATTCTCAGATCTATCGTCTCACATGAGGACTTTCCCAAGGCCATGTTTATGAACACAATCTTAACATACCTGTCTCTTTCCACGTGATACACTATAAAAACAAAAACAAATTAGCTCATTCATTCTTAGGTGTCTTTTGATTCAAATATGAGAAAAAAAACTGAACGTGGTAATTATTGATCAAAAGGGACTGGGTATGTACAAATGGGGAGTACATTTTCAGCTTCATGGTTTTCAAATATAGTTATTTTATAGTCTGTGTTTGATAATTCTAACATTTATAGCTTTGGAAGATTTATTAACTTCTTGCCTGTTGTTTTTCATGTGTGTGAATGTATGTGGTTTTAAGGACTCAACTTTTCCATTTTTATCTTTAGGAAATGTTTTGAGATACAGTCTTAAAATATATTCATTCACAGAATACTCGTGTCTACAAATTTCAGTTCTCGCCTAACAATTCTGGATTATTGTGGAATTCTCAAAATTTTGGAAATGGTCACTATCACTTATTCAGAGTTGAGTTATTGTATCCACAGTGTTGTCACATGCTGGCACCTTAAACAACTTATGTGTTTTCAGTCTCACCTCTTTCATATCTTCATAGAAAATAAATAAGATGCGTGGATCCGTACTCTTTTCCCACCATGACTTCACATGATCATACCAGGAGCCATAAGGAACTACAATTAGAGACCAAAAAAAGGCATACTGCCATTACTGTGCAACTTGACAAATAACAGCCACAACAACAAAAACTAGAAGTCCAAGAGCACAGAGAAGAGCTAGATGAATCACACACGCCACGCAACGTGCACTGTGGGGAGACCAGCAAAACGCGTGGAGTGGTTAAGACCCAGAGCACAGGGCCAGCGTGGTGGCCTCCAGGCCCCTTATGAAACAGCGCCAGCCAGGGCGCTGCGCTCTGCTCGCTGGCTCAAAGTTAGGAGGGCATTCTGAAGGCGGGTTGTGCGCCTGGCTGTGTCTACCTCATCAGGCTGTTAAGGAAGCGAGCTGAGTAAGAAGGCTCTTCGGTGCCCAAGTCCACCGAGTCCAGTCCCAGGGTGACATTTACTGTCTTACAAAGCGGTTTCAGCCTCGGGCGCTGGCGAGCACTAACTACTCCGCACAGCAGTTTGCAGCTCCGCGAGCCGCAGGAAGGGCTGCAGGCCGGAGTGGGCAGCTGCACGTCCAGCTCCCGGCTGGGCCCGAGCGGGCGGGGCAGCGCTGCTCCAAAGGGAGCCGCGGGGCTGAGTGACAGGCGCAGGCGGACACCGCTGCAGAGAGGCGGCCACCCCGCTCCGCCGGCAGAGCCGCGCCGGGACCCGGCCTGGCGCCCCCAGGCTGACAGGAGCTGCAGACGGCGAGCGGCGCGCCCGCGAGCGTGCAGAGCGCCCCCTGGCGCCGGAAAGCGGGGAGACGGAGAGAGCGCGGCCCCTTTCCGTTTCCTCGCTTTCCTCCTCTCACCTACGCAGGAGTGTTTCACCAGTTGCAAACTCACAAAGCAGTGTCACTGTATGAGCCGGGCTTCCGCCCACTGGATAGCTTCTCTATGTTTTCACTCATGAGGGAATTTTCTCCTTATATAAAATGCTCTACGATATTTATTTTTTATTTTAAAAAAGCAAAACAGAAAAAAAGGATAGAAATGATACAGAATTTCAAAAAATTAGGAACTGAACGCTAATTAATATATTGCATATTGTTATCTTAGAAGTAATTGTTCAGCTTACAAGATTTAGGCACAAACGATGATCAAACAGACAATGAATGACAAACTGTTCTTTTGGATGAATTAACACAGATTAGTAGTATAGCTCTCATGTGTATATACATACATGCATACATACATATGTACATATGTACATGTATATATCTACATACCTATACATGTGTGTATGCTTATATGTACATAATCTTTTCCCTTCTTCCTTCTCTCCTTAATTTACTCAAGTTGTTCTTTCCTTCTAAGCACTTTCTTTCCCTTTTGTTATCACAATATCTGTTGTACATTTTGGATCTTATTACTCTTTCAGGTTTTTTTCCTTAACACTAGGGAGGCAATATGATATTTACACATGTGAGTTTGATTTATTTCAGTTATGAATATGGTCTCAAGTTACCTCCATTTACCTATAAAAGTCTCAAGATTATCCTTTATAGCTGAGTGGTGACCTTATTCATTCTTTTAGTAGAGGTGCAATTTTTTTCTGTCTTGCAATCAGAACCCAGACAATCTTGAGATCTGTATTTTACTCATGATACTCAGCATAATTTTTTCAGTGAACCAAGTATACCTTACATTGAATCAATATTATCTATTATGAATGTTAAAATGTCATTATTATTTTGCCTTTGGAGTATTATTACATAATCAGAATCTCTTTCTTTAATCCTAGAGTATCCTGTTCCCCTTCATCTTCCAATCTAAACATTTAGTTGCTTGATTCTAAGTGTTTAAATGAGTTGCAACTTCTCATGGTGTATGGTCAAGTAACTCCTTCCTTTTCTGGAATATCTGGTTAAGTTATTCAGTGAATTCTGGGTAGAACGAGCAAGGAATTTGTAGATAAAATTGGTCAAGCACTCATGGCCCTGTAACGTTTGACACTCTCCTTGGAAGCAAATAGGTATTCCCCCACTGTTTCCTCCCCCAGCCAATCACAAGCTGTGAAGCAACATTCTGATAAAAAAAGAGACAAGACAGAGATTTGACATTGTCTGAATTCTAGAGAAGAAAACTTAAAAGCCCTCAGGCATACTTGAAGGCATCTATTTTTAGGTGTGGAACTGGAATATCAAGATTCTGCAACTTTCCATACACCAAAACTTATACCCGAACTAGCCAGCAAGGCTTTCAGAATGTCTGTTTTGATCAAGGGGAAAGTTAATACACAAGAACAGACAAAACAAAAATTTGTTTGGAGATATTATTTGTGCTATATCCCTTACCTGGAAAAGTTCAGAGAAAAGAAACTGATCCTACCTTGACCTTGCATGAATTTCTCCACAAATTCTGGAAAGGACCCAGGATCTGGATGATTCGCAACCATTAAAAAGAAATAATAATAAGAAACAGCCACATCCTTGGCATTCCGGCAAATGCATATCATCTAAAAAGAATGGAATCGTATATGACATCACTTAATAATTCTTCAGCCATCCTCTTACCAAGACTTAAAGACTCGTGCTTTCAGCTACAAATATAATACAAATTTGTTTTGAGGTATTAAAATGAAATTTTAAGCTGACTAGTTCACAGGAAGAATCTTTGGGGGCTACTTTTAATTAAATAAGCTGACTAGTATGTTACCCTCGAAGACAAAATACTCACAACTGTGCAAGAAGAGGGAAGGAAACAGAACACAAGCACGCATGCCCTCTGTCTCTTGCCAGATGATACATGATGCTGCCTCGACTCTGCCAGGAAGATACCCACAAGGGGAAAAGCTGTCAAATGGAACCTCTAACCCTAGTTTTTTAAGGAATCTCCACACTGATTTCCACAAAGCTACACTCCTACCATCAGTGGACAAGTGTTCCTTTTTCCTCACAACTCCAACAGCATTATTAATTGCTTTCTTGATACTAGCTATTGCTTCTGGAGAAAGACGAAATTTCAGCATTGTTTTAATTTGCATTTCTCAAATGAACAATACTTGATGTCTACAACTTAAAGGAAGGAGAAGTTTATTTTGGCTCACTTTTTTTTCCCATAGTTGTTGGCTACTCCCAAGGCAGGAAGGTAAGGTAGAAAGGAACAGTGTGAGAAAATCTGGTGGCTTCATGGCAGCCAGGAAGCAGAGAGAGAAAGGAGGAACCTGGAAGGGAGATGCACCCTACAGGTCGCCCTTGAGGAGCAGCATCTTGCAGCCAAGACCACCCTAGCTGCAGACTACCCATGATCCAGTCACCCTCCTCAAGTCACTACTTCAAAAAGAAGAGGCTGGAAGGCTGGCCAAATGTAAATCATACCCATATGGAAGATGCTTTTCCTCTATTTCTTCTGACAAACTGAGACTTAGGAAATTTAACTAGGTCTTTACATATTTACCTCGGGCAAATGACAGCGTTAAAATGACAGCATAGATTCTTTGAGTACATTGGCTGTAACTCATATTTGTTATAAACCTATAGATTCTATGGCAGACAAACAAGTGTGCATAAGCATACTTAGGGGCCATCTAACTTGATCTTTCTAAATGCCTTTGAGTTTGACAAGCTTCTGAGAATATTTGGCACTGATTACCTTACATCTCTTTTCCCAAAATGAGGCTGGAAGAAGTCGAGGTGGCAGGTGAGTCTTTATGATTCTTGGAGAATTCATTTCCTCTAATTGTTTTACACCTGAATTTTAAACATTAAAAGTTAGATGATATTAAAAACTTTAAATACTTATATATGCTTTTTAAAAACAGTGGTAACTTTATATGGTGTTAACCACAAACATACTGTGAACAATACACAGAAAATTATAGAGAAAATAAAATCAAAGTTTCATGGCCTGAAGTAAATTATTAACATTACAGTAAGATTGCTTGCACAAATATATCAACATGCCTTGATTCACAGCTGTTCCAAATTATAAAAAGGGGATTTTTATATCTTCTCATTGCTTTTTTATTCTCAATATACTATACTCAAACTGCAGTCAGTGTCAAGAAACCTCAGTGGATTTTTAATGAATTCATAGTGGTACTCTTGTCTATTCTTTTATTGATTAGAGTTAGGTTGTTTATAATTTTCCACACTATCAAAAGAAACTGTGATGAGTAAACTTTTCAATATCTCCCTGAAGATGTATGAATATTTACCAGTATTTAAAATATAGTTCAGAAAAAAAGTCCACATGTTACTAGACACGACTGAATGCTAATAAAATCTAATTTTTCTTTTTTTTGTTTTTCATTTTTATCGGTACCAGGGATCGAACTCACAACTGCCTGCTTGCAAGGCAGACACTTATGCCGCTGAACTAAATCCCCAGCCCCTAAAATCTAATTTTTCAATCTATTCTAGATACATGCTATTACGAATGGTCTCAACATTTATATTTAAATTTATAAGGTCTCTTATATAGCAGATATAATACTTATTACCACTCTTCTTTACAATCTTGGCTTGCATTATCTTTATTCACATCTTAAATCATTTGCACAGAGCTTTTAAGATCAAGTTGAACATTACCATTCATCATCTTATCATTTCTGCATTCCAGGAAAGGTACTCGGTTAAAAATTGCATCTTGTCTGCATTTTTTCACATCTCCCTCTGCATAGATCATACACACGACTTCACTAATCCAGGTTGTGCCTGTAAAAATTAAGTGTTAGTTTCATTGACTAAGCCGGACTGGTTACTGTCTGCTGGATTTATAGATGGATAAAATCCACAGATATCAATGTGATATTATTTGAAGAGTAGTTAGACACAGAACTCAAAGAAATCTTTTCTCCAACAGTTAATTTTATAGGACCACAAAATAGTCTTAACATTAAGGATAAATAGTATAGTAAAACACTTTTCACATTTGCCCATATGAAGTGTGACTGTGAAAGCTGACACCATTTTGGATTTTCATCTTTACAGCTAAAGAGTGAGGAGATTTGACTGACTGGTGCTGCGTGCACACACACACACTTTGAAGCACAGGGTCATTGACAGCTTTAGTCCATTAGGTTTGATCTTATTTCAGAGAATGCAGAAAAATATATACCTGTTCTTTGTCAGGTCAAGGCCTTCAGAACAGCCAGGGTAAGTGTTCAATGATAGCAAGGTTTCACTTTTCTTATGATGCTATGATACAGAGAGGATTGTGAAGGAGTAGTATAGAATGTGTTGCTGATGCTCTAAAACATTTTGACAAGAAATGCCTTTATGATTAAGCTCAGGCCTGAAAAACATTCGCATAAATTTACAGCTTATGTGTGTAAGGGAAGGTCCTACCAGACAAGCATTTTCTCCTTTTCCTTAAATAATGAGGGGATACTTAAGACTACACAAGAAAAGAACTGTAAAGACACTACAGAGCCTACATCAAATAACTTACCTGAAGAGATACGTGGGGCAAGACTACAGAATCACACAGACAGCAGGCACAAAATGCCTGTGGTAAAGTCTGAACGCTTTGTAAAAGTTCATGTAACATATATTACATAATCTTCAAATATGATCAACAATAGCTATTTATCAATGTGCTTTTCAAATTATGGACTGACATCATAGAATACAGTTAAAGATGCTAATTTAATCATCTGTATCAAAAGTACTACAGATCCCTCATTTGATAAAGAAAATTAATATTCAGGAAGTGATCAGCTCAATATTCACCATTCAAGTGAGTTTATAATTCTTATCAAGAAGACCTACCAGATTTAGGGTAGGCAGCAATGACAAGATCATCTGGTCTGGCTTGGAATGCTTCCACATTATCCCAGTATTTGATGAACTGTTTATACAACAGAATTCCACGGAATTCATCAAAGTATTCATAATAGTCATGTTCAGAAGAATCCATCATAAAGTGGTATACTGAAAAAATAAAGTGTTTTATACTTTGTATGTACTTTATAATGTTTCAAATATTAGCGATAACAATGTGTCGAGGCCTTCTCCAGTATGTAAGGCTTCTCATACAGGTACAGTGAACACAAACTAAAGATGAGCATAACACAGTCTTCACGCTGAAGAGTTTGTCATATTGTATAAATATAGGTCTAATGTACAAAATCGGTATTTGGAATATAATTTTCTAATCCTGTTATTAATGAATGTCTAGTAAGAAAACACAAGACACTACAAAATTTAATTCTTAGAACTAAGTAAAATTGTGGGGTATGCATAAAACAGGTTATAATACATAAAACTAACGAGGCCTTCAATTCTTGTCAAAATTAAAGGATCTTATGAAAAACCTAAAGAGTTTTGAAATTCAACAATAATTTAGTGGAGTTTACCTATGTGAATATTAAATTTACCTATGTGAATATTAAATTTAGTGGAGTTTACCTATGTGAATATTAAATAAATAAGATCAGTGATCGCATTTGGTAGTTATACGTGGACTTTTAACTCTTCTTTAGTGGCTGAGTACCTATCATCGATACACAATAGCAGTCCTGGGACTCTGAGAAGGTGAGAAAGGAGGATCAGAAGTTTGAACTCAGCTTGGAGAACACTGTGACTTAATGAGACCCAGATTTAAAATAAAAATACTTACAAAAAGATGGGATGCAGCTTAGTGTAAAGCCCTGGGTTCCATTTCCAGTACAACAACAAAAAAATTAAAATCAATGACACTACAATGGTTGCATCTAGGAGAGGAGATCTTGTAATATAGAAGATTTTTTGTGATCTCTGATATTACTTTTCTCTCTCACTTGATCAATAAATAGTAGATGCTCCCAATTACTGCCTTGTCCTAAATTACTGTATAAGGTTGAACAAGGCGGTTCTAATTCACCTCTCATTCCCTAAGGATCCATTTCGTATTCAGGATTCTCCTTCACTAGTTTTCAACTTCCTTTGGTGCTCGTTTTTTCAAATCTATTCCATTGTAAGTTTATGGTAGCGCATCTCAGCAGACTTAGCGCCTCCCTGCCTGACTTTTCCGGATCCTCCTCTCATTCCTAAAATGCTCAGTAAGCTGGTTCCCATTTGTAAATTCATGACTGCCGTGGCTTCTGCTCTTCTTTTTAGTGAGTTTACATGACAAAAGTCTCCTTCAGCCAATTCTTTCAGCTACCAAATATATTTTCTTTAGTAAGGAGAATTTCAATCCTCGACACATGCCTTTTTTAAGAAACAGTGAAAGTAGTACATGCTGTAATACATAGAAAAAGAAATATCCTACTTAACACTTTTATATAAATAAATATTCTACATATCAAGCTAAATAATTAAACTAGGGACTTACACTGAAGGTTTCTCCCAGGAGCATTTTCTCACTACATCTCAGCTCTGCACTGCAGACCCTGCATGGTCCTCAGCCACACTTGGACTGGATCCCACACACTTCTGCCCTCTCCTCACTACCGCTATACTCCATGCTCTGGTTCAAAATCTTTAATACGTTGTTTGGATATGAAAATAGCCTCCCAACTAGTTTTAAAGACAGTCTACCAATCCTCTTTCTGTAACCATCAGAAGAAAGAAAATGCATGTTACTAATAGAGTACTGCTCAATTTTGAAAGTTTCATTTTGTATGTCACAAAACTCTATGAGAGTGCAGATACACTTATTAATCAAGCAAAGTCTGTCTTCTATTGTGTTCATTGAATTTCATAACCATATCTATCTTACTAAAAAAGGGTAAATATGTACACATTTATGCATTTGTGATAAACGCATGTCATATAGATACATTTATGTTTAATATGGTAACATTGGAAAAGTTAAATGATATAAACAAAATAAAGTTATTCTTTTTATTCTTCCTGTAAGAGCTAATCACTCATAAAATTGTGTTTAAACTTCTAGATATTAAGTACATAAAAGTATCTAGAAGTTTAAGTATAAACATATTTAACTTAATTGGAATTATGTTTTACATTAATTTTATAATCTATTTTGTCACTGAAATATTAATGTGAAGTTATTTTAGCATTGCTACATGAAGATGATCTTTTTGTTGTTGTAAGTGAAACATAGGTTACAATATGATGTTACCATAATTTCATAGTTGTTCATTGTTGGAAAATCATGCATATTTTTGAGCATATGTATTTGCACATTTGCCTGTGAAACTGTTGGAATTAAAACTACACAAGTAAAATACTGAAAAACATTTAATGCATTACTAGGAGACTGTCTTTCTTTGCACAGGCTTTTTTTATCACATCTTATTAATACTGAAAATTATATATTGTAATTTTTACAATTAGAAAATAAACTTTTAATTTACTTTTTTTGAAATTTGTCTTTCATAAATTCCTCGTAATTTTTGTTTTCATAATCCTTAAGTTTATTAGAGGTTTTAATCATGTTGATATATTTTATCTATCTTCAATGTTGCCTTTCAATAATTTATAGTAATTGATTGTCAAGTAATAATAATTGATTATTGTTCTCTATGTTAAGAAAATTTTTTCTATCTTGTATCACAAATTCCTCTTGCCTTTTTACTGGTGATGTATAGGAGATTTTCTTAATATTTGTTTGTTTGGGTGTTTGAGTTTTTTTGGTGAGTTGGTGTTTTTTTGTTTTGTTTTGTTTTGTTTTTTGAGCTGGATCTCATTATACAATTGAGGCTGGTCTTGAACACATTATGTAGCCAGGGTCCCTCAAAATCACAGCAGTTCTTCTTCCTCAGCCTTCCAAGTACTGGGATTACAGGTGTGTACCACCATATCCAGCCTAAATATTTAACTGGACACATAAAATAAACATGTTAAAATGTATATATATATTTGTATTCACAAGATTAATGTACAAACAATACAGAATATAATTGGAGAGCTTGGGTTCTAAAATAGAACATCTTGATTTAAATCCTGATCCTTCTATTTGAAATTTTATGACATTTACAAAATATTTTAGTTTTAGTATGTGTTGGAGACCACTATGAAGCAGTTCTGAACAGGATTTAAAATAAACTAATTGGCTTTCTGTGTTTATCTATGAATCTGTCCTAGGTCTCAGCCCCTCGTCTGGTGACAGGAGCTGATTCATAGTAAGTGAATCTCTATGAATCACTGGTCCTTCCTGACGTCTGCAGTGGCCTGTGAGCCAGAGATACCTTAAAGGGCAAGATAAGGCCACAGCTGAAGATACCTTGGCTCCATCACTAATTAAGTAAATAGAGACTGCAGCTGAAGGAATCTCACTCCTGAAGTCACACTCTACCATAAATCTCACGCTGGTTCTCCAAAACTGACATAATTTACTATTTGGAAAAGTCTTTGAAGCGACTCTCAAGATCTTGCTAATTTCTCACACTTAACTCAGTTTCCCTACCCTTTGTTTTGGACCTAATAAATATGGGCAGAGAAGTCTTTGTCTTCTCCCTCAGAGTCTTGAGCTCAGCTAAAGGATTTGGACCCTCCTGGAGCCCTAAAATCACATCACTTGTCTCATTTTACTTAAGCCTTTGCTGTACACTCATTTGGGAGATTGGGGACCTACATCAGGACTCATAAGTATGTTCTATTTTCTCAACTATAAATTGAAGATAATAATAATTGTAACACTTATTTGTCACAGTTACTAAAAATTATCAATAGTTAATACAAACTCACACATCCAGTCAGCAAGACCATATCAGAAATCTATCAGCTGAACTTACTCAGATATTAACAGCACATAATAAAAGATGGTATCTGTATTCCAGTAGAGGAGACATGTGATTTCACCAATTTCCAAGGATCTCATGAATATAATTTTTTGGAAAAACTAATGGTCATTATCTGTTTTCACCTTGTAGATACTGAGTATGACCCTGAGACAGCTCCGCATGACCATCATTTCAATTCATCTCCAAATTGCACAACACAAGAGAGACACTGTGTGAGATGTTTCCCTTCATTTGTTTTTATTTAAAGAATGGTTTAACACATGCTTTGGAAATCACCAAAGCAGGATTAGTCATAGGTAATCTTCCCAAAAAGAAAGGAATTCCAGTCCGTAGGAGCAATATCAATTCTTTTAAAAACCTCCGTTAAGCATATCAGTGTAATCTCACAAAAATTATGTCTTCTTAAAATAGAAATTAGTTTTGTCAGTAAATCATCTTATTTCTTAAACCTTCTTGCTTTCAGAAAATTATTTTTGGCAGGAAAAAATGAATATGAAAGCCATCCCCTACCTTGTCTATTAATTTCTTTGTTAATATGAATTACTTTTTGAAGTTTCAACCCAGTTTGTAAGAATTGTCTTGTACTCATCTGAGAGTGCTTCATCTAACACTAAGTGGTGGGCTGACTTCTGGCTGTCCCCTTATGCACAATTTTGGTCTCAGAGATAAAACCTTGTGACATGCAGTAAGATCTCTTACCTTCTGTCATTTCTTTTGATAAACTGACTCACCATACAATGTATGCATTTGTTTTCTAACTGCTTTTTTTTCTTAAAGTACATACTTTACCTAGCAGTTGCCAATTTCTTTAAATAAATGAGCATATAAGTCATGATTATTCTGGAACACCAAGAAAGCAATGCTAAATATGTGACTCATAAAATTAATTAATTTTAGAAAGATTTTCTGTATCTTTTCTCTTTCTTCTTTTTTTTCCAATCTTTTTTTTTCTTCTTCATGTTTTTCTTTTTGATCTCTCAATCTGTCTTGTGTCCAATAAGTATTTTATATGTGCATGTCCTCTCTGTTATTTTCTAGGGACCATGGTAAATGCTGAGACATTCAAATGAATTCTTACAGTCCTCATCCTTTTAGATTTACCTGCACAGGGGGAAAGTGAAAACAGAAGCTATCCTATTATAGATCTTTCTGTGCAGACCTAAGAACTGTGATTAAAGATAGGTGTTCAGAATTATTCATTACATTTAATTATTAAAGTCTCTCTGTCTCTGTCCATACCAAGAAATTTTTAGATTATAGGTAATAGCCTGTTAACAACACAGCTGTCATTTGCTAGGACCTGGACTTAACTGTATTTACTGAAAGTTTGTCACTCAGAAATAATAACAGCATTTTCAAGGCCTCTGACAATAGTAGACTATATGTGACACTTTTCACGTGAATAAAAGTGAGCTAAAAATCTGTTTCCATGCTGTTAGTACCTTGTTAGCTCTTTTTTTCATTAATAAAATAGGAAACATACCCAGTATGCAGCACCTCCAAGATAGTCACAGTACTGCAATTTTATGTTACAGCACTTCAAGTAGCAATCTCAGAGATTATTTTTAATGAGAAATTACTGATTTTAAAATTCCTTAAATATTTCACAGCAGTAACTTTAGTATCGATAAAGGCTTTACTTTTTCTATATTTTTAATAACTTTGTAAAATATGGTATGTATTTCATAGTTTATCTAAAATATAAGCATCAATAATAATAAAAAATACCTGTCCAGATGATCCTGGAAATAAATGGAATGATCAAGCTTAGTTCTCTTCAAATATCAACGCAGATCTTAAGCTGCAAAGAAGAGATGAGAACTATTTGTACATTTGGAATGTTTCTGGTGAGTTTTTATCCTAAATGCCAGAGAGGAGGTGGAGATTAGTTTGGGGGTGTGGCTTTGTCATGCAATGTACTAACATAGCTCTAGAAACATACCTGAAAATGGTTGGATCCTTTCACACATAATAGAAGCAGAAACATATATACACTGCTACTGTATATATGTTTAAAAATTTCTTTGCCTCTTTTCCAAATTCAGAAATTTTCCAAAGTTTGCAGGGGTTGTAGAGGAAATGACAGGAAAAAAGGGAAGATGAGTAAGAAAAAGTCTTAAGCAGAACTCCAGAGTGAGCGGGATGGACGAGCCCATATGTGCTGATGAACAGTAACTTCTGTGAGATTCATGTTTAGGAGTAAAAAAAAACTTGGAAGACTGAGACAAGAAAATAACAGGAAAGAATGGGGATGCTCCCGGATCAGGAAACCCGCTAAGAACAGTGGCTGCATATGGTTTGACTGTGTCCTAACAAGCCAACAGGAAGCACATTCTTAAAATGTTTGCATCTAACTCTTAAACAGGTATGAAAATAAAAGTTGACTACTAAGAAAAGAATATACACATCAGTCAGGATTGGTCTACTGTTTTAGAAACCAACTACTCTTGTTTCCAATCACATAATTGTATAGTGTGACATTTCCAGATAAATGTATGGATTATGCTGTTGCAATTTAGACAATAAAATGAGAAAATGAATAACCAAGAATCTGTGGAATCTGTAGTCCTTCACCTTTCTTCTTTTCATAGCTGTGCACACACTCTGGCTGCTGAAGAATATGCTCTTTGTCTCCATCCTTTTACTCCCGTCAATACCCCCAGCCACTTAGTTGTAGCTCTGTTAGATCCCATTTGTCTCTTATCTATGATTAGGCTGCACTTCCTTTGAGAGGACTTTGCCTGATTTGTTTAGTAAATATTTGCCTTGATTCTTAGTATTCAGACTGAGATCAGTTGAACAACATGACCTATGCCTGTAATCCTAGCATTCTGGAAGGCGGAGAAGGAACTCATGATCAGTTCTAGCCTAGGAAGCACAGGGATGTAGCAAGAATCTGTATCAAAGTAAAAAATTAAAGCCTTAAGACGGACCTGGAATATGATGCAGTCTGAAAACCCTGAATTCAATCCCTAGTACAGGGTGGAGAGAGGGTGTCATACAACACACTGTGGCGCACTTTACGGAATGCAGCACTGGTGTATCTGTGTGACAAAATGTTCCCCAAACAGTGGACATTCCTTATTTGTGGTTATTGAGTTGCTTCTTTTCCTTATGTTTATCATAAATGTACTTCCTGTGGGCCAATTTTAAGTCTTCTAGAGTCTGTTTCACAAGGGTTTAATATTGAGGCTATTGACAGTGTATAAATAAATGGAATTGTAACTTAGTTTTTAAAATTGCTAACAAATTTGACTTTTTGAGCAGTATTTAACAAAAATGGATCAGATAATGTAAAGTTGTCTCATGTATCGCTTTTCCCTTGCGTAGTTTCTCCTATCATTGTACCTTATGTTAGTTTAATACGTTTGCTACAACTGAGGAGTCAATACTGATACAGTAATACTATAGGCAATCGGACAGGGTGGGGTTCGTGAAGGAGTCAGTGTAGAAGATGAGAGCAAGCACATCGGACTGCAGGCATATCTAAAGATTAAGGACACAATGGTAAGAGAATCTTGGGATTGTTAGTATCACCCTTCTGAGAGTTCTCATTATCTCATTAGGGGTGGGCCATCCTCTCCCAGCCACTAAGACTAAAACTAAAACCACTAAGAATAAGACTATAGAGGATTTACCAAGGTTAATGTCACCTATATGGCCTTGCTACCAATGGGTCAATATTTCCTAAGTGGCTATGCTTGCAATCCTATTGGTTGATCATAATTATTAACCCATGTTGTACCTGCCTCATGATTTTGCCCTATAAAAATGTCATTTGATAATTGGGCTCATTGGTGAGTCATTTAAGACTCTTTCTGTCTCTCAGGAGTTATTCCTATTGCCCCTTCATTTTCCCAATAAATTTTCCTACTCATCCTCCTTTATTCCTTAAAATTCATTCTTCAACTTTGGGGAACACAAACTCAGCACATCTAACATTTCTCCATATCAACTTGACAACACATTCCCATTTATTGCTGAGTAATATTGAATTGCATGGATGTGCCATAGTTTTTTTTCCATTCAACTATTAAAATACTTCTTTGGGAAGTAGAATAAAAAACATTTATAAACATTCACCTGCAGGCTCTTATGAATATCCATTTATTATATTTGGGTAAACACAAGTATGCATTTATTGGATAGTACCTTAAACAATTAATTATTTAAGTTTGTAAGAAACTGCTAAACCATTTTCCAAAGTAGTTGTAGGATTTTCAGTTCTAACCTCCCGTAGAGCTTCTGTGGTTGGATGACCTGTAGCTCTAGCACTTTCTTTTATCTGATTTTTGTGTATTATTTGATGTGTCAGTTTATGTTTACTGTTTGTCATAGCTGAAGTAATGCTACCAGATTCAAGTTTCTTTAGTGTTCTTGTTTGTTTTCTGTTATTTTTGATGTTTTTTATAAATTCTTAAGTAGAATCCTTATAATTATTTTAGCTGTGCTATAAGTGCTATCATATATGAGAGTCTTTTTAATTTATTAACAAGATACTAGGTTTGAGGGAAGTTCTAGAATCCTTGAGTGAGTCTTCTTTTCATGTATTCTTCCTAGTATTCTCGGGCTATCAATTTTCAAGTCACTTCTCAGCCCAAGGCAGCTTTGTTACCCTCTAATATGACACAAGAAGGCTTAGGAGACCAGCACTTCAGCAACTTCTTTCCCCCAAGTCAGACAGACTTGTAGTATAGTATCTTTCCTTTGTAAGCTTTTGTTAAGGGTTTGTTTCAAAGTGATTCTTCCTTTTCCTTAAAGAAAGGAATTCAGCTGGTTTCTCACTGTGACAACCTGGTGACGCATCTGTAAAATGAATTCTGTAAAATGAATTCTGTAAATGAATTCAGCATTTACAGCCTGGAACCACAGGAGATAAGGATTTGCTCAAGGGCACATAAAGTTCTTCTTGGAAATTCAATCCCTGAGCTCATCTTGTTTTCCAACTCATGCAGAACATTAGGAACAAGCAGTCAATGTCATTATAATCCTTAATATTCCACAAATGTTCGAAAGTATCACAAAGAGCCTCTTAGCATCTTGTTTCCTCTAAGTGTTTGATAAGGAATATCCAGTGTAGCTATTTTGAATAGCACTATATACAGACCATGGATGCACTGTCAGTCCTCCATCCCCAAATAGAATTCTTACTATATTTTAATCTAATTGCATATGAGACACAACTCCAGAAACACTCAAAACAAAGTCAGAAACTGTTTTCTTAAAATTATCTTAAAATTATCCTCTAGAATAATTCCCACTACCAAATATTATTTTAGTCAAGGTTCATCAGAGAAATGAAATCACTCATTGACAAGAAAGAGAAAGGAAGAGAAGATTTGTAGGATTTAGTCACAAGTTTAAGGAGGCTGAAAAGTCAAGTGGGAAACTGAGATAAATGGTAATATAAAATTTAGTTCATCTTCAAAGAATGAAAACTTGGTGTGGTTGAAGACCAAATTCCAAAAGCTAAATTATAGGGAAATGAAGCTCCCAACCTACTACATGTCTGTTACGAGTTCATGTTCTCTAAAATCAAAGAATGAATTTTAAGAACAATGGAGGTTAAGAGCAGAATATATATAATGAGAAAAAGAAAGCTTTTGTCTGAGAAAGAGACAGAAGAGGTCTGAAGGGGGTTGCCAAAGGTTCTGTCTTTTCTAGGGATTTTATAGGGTAAAACTAAAGTGAGGTAGGTCTAAAGTGAGAAAACACGGGAACTTGCAAGGTGGGCATGAGGTGGGACACAACTATGGCCAACCAATAAGATTAATTGCTCAGATAAAATTGATTAAATAGGAGAAAAATGGAAAAGCAAATCACATAGCAAGTGGCTGTGCTTACAGACTATTCTTGTAAGGGGTTGGAATCGTGACTCTTGGTTTCCTCTGGGTGATACAGATCTTTTTAGGATACCAATCCCTGGTGTTTATTCTTTGGGTGGGGGTATATTTGTTTGATCTTTTATCTTGAGATCTGGCCCACAGCAGGTGTATGTCCTTAACCCAAAGGTATCTGGTCTTCTGCACTGGCTCCTTAAAGGGCCCAACCCTGTCTGACTGCCTATAATATCTAAGTCAACTGCCTGTAACAGTACAGTTCACTAAGCAGAGATTTTTTACTTAATCTTGCAACTTGAGAAGTTTACTTTGTTTGCAGATATGAATCAAAAGGTGACCTTATTGACCTGAATAAGAAATGTCCACTCTCCTCTAGGTTAAGGCAGAGAAAGGGATTCTTAGGTTTAGAGAGCATAGAGTGATACTGTGGATTTGATGGTTAAAGTGTACTTTGCCACCCTGAGAAGGCCCAGATTCATATCTTTCACTGGTATCTTCAGAAATAAAACTCTATAAACTGGAAAAATTGGAGAAATTACTGTAATAATGACACAAGAACCACCTGGAGACTAAAGCTATGGGCAAGATTCGATTTTGTTCCTCTACTTACAGGCAGGCTGAAATCTGAGTGAATATCAGCAAATATCTAAAGGAGGGACTGAGGATACATAGATTTTAAGGGTGGGGGGAGAAATTTTAAAGGCTTTTAAAGAATCTGGGTAAAATGTCTGAGTTTAAGGCTGTATGGACAGCACACAGAGATAGCATCAGGTGTCTGTAAGGTGACCTTAGCCCCACATTAAACTTTTTATTGCCTTGGCTAAGTCTTGTTTAACAGGGGTAAGATATTGCCAGTAATGGAGAGTCAATTGTTTGTAGAGGGCAGAGCAAGTCTCTCTCAGGTCACTCTCAGGCCAGTTGTGACAATTTATGTCAAGCAGGGAAATAATAAAATTGCAGCATGACAGTCATCTGAACTCGTGAGCTGG